ACTAAACTGCAGAAAGTAGTTCACATTGGGAAAGCTTTTGATATCCAAGGGTATTGCCAATAATAGTTTACCATTTGGAAACTGAAAATAACGATGACCATTTGCACGAAAAAGAGAATTTTAATACAATAGTTAGGATGTTGAATCAATCCCAAATTTTGAGCAAAAAACAAAAAGAAAAAAAAAAACCCTACATCAGATCTTTAAACATAGAAAGGGAAAACTACAATTTACGCAAGTGTCCAACTTCCATTGGTAGGACAAACTTTGTACATCATGAACATTGGGGTTTCATTGTTCACAAGTTTGAATATACACGTGTCACCTATTTGAAGTCGTTTTTCTGTAACGTAGGCTGGCCACTCTACGTTGAAACGCCGGACGTCACCCTTTGTTCTTACATTTGTTTAGACGGGTCAATTGCGGTGTGAACGAGGATTTGGATATTCCGGACAAATTTTTGTAGATGTACTCGAGCGAAAGCTCCGGGTATATCCTGCAAAACCATTCTCTTTACATCTTAAGGCCTTTTCAAAAACCATTGTATTCAACACCTACAAGGTGATTAAGCGTACGTTTGGCTCATGTTTACAATCTGTTATATTAAAATTCAAACTACTTTTTATCCAAACATTTGAAGGACTTATTCCAATCGAAAAAAAAACATTTGAAGGACTCACAAGCATTACCTATTTATGTACTACTCATTTTAGTTTATTTATAATTTAAACTGTTTATAAACAATTCCCGAACATGATTTAAAGAAGACAAGATATAGGAGTCCTAGGAAACAATTATTCTCTCCAAACACCAAAATGTAAAAGTTGAACAACTCAAACTATAACCAAAATACACAATACCATCGCATGCTCAACCAGGATCCTAGCCTGAAGTCTATACCTCTAGAAAAATTGAGGACGGCTTTCTTAGGATATGCAAATATTTTAATCATCTTATATTTACATGGATAGAAGGAAGGAGAATTAAAAAAAAATTAATTAACCACCTCTCACGGGAACATAATTGAGAGTACAACCGAGAAGAAGGGCTCCATGGCTTTTATTGTGTGAGTGAATGAAACAGCAACTTATCCAAGACTCATGTTGGTGAAAAGGTTGCCTAAGGTGTGCACCACTGCCAGTGGCAGAATAGCTGCAAGTTGTCAATGTAAATTCAAGATAAATTTTCCCACTTATAATTGTCAAAACTACAAAGTGTAGAATCACTGGTGTAACATTACCTGTGCGGCACTAATGTTTGGCCTTTTATAAAGATTGGTCGTCCACATGAGAATAACAAGCACAGTCCCAACAGCAAGTTGGGCTAAAGGGACGGTTACAGGATATGGGTATACTTTGAGCACCTGAGACAATTTATAATCATCTTAACTTTCAATAATCAAGGTTAGAAATTTCTGTTACAAAGTTCATGATGCAACTTATACCACACAATTGAAATACATGATAGTTGTTTCTATTTCCAATTCAAAGGATCTAATTTCAAAACAACCTTGAATTACCCACCAAAGGTGCAATAAACAGAGAGTTATTAAAGCTCAAAGATGGAAACTTGAGTAAATACAATTAGATGCAGAAGTGTCACAAAATCAAAGACTAATGTGAATTCCAAGACAGAAAAATATTCTCCAATGCGTCATTATCAAAATAAATAACACTAACAATCATCGTTTACTATAAATTATAATTAAATAAAAATGCAATCTTTTTTCATAATGAAAAAAAAAAAAGAGTAAAAACACATAGCATTTGATGTTTTCCATATCCTATAAGACCCAGCACAATTCTACAATTCAAAACACTAAAACATACCAACATAAAAGCATAACACCAACTGTTTACTCAAAATACGACCAGAATGCATGAAAATCAAATAATCAAAAGAAGAAAAATTCGGGGAAATAAAAAATGCTAAAAGCCAACAGCAATCCACAATTTTAAATGTTGATTTGATGGAAAATGTTTGGTTAAATAATAAGAAAAGGTTTTGAGTGGGAATATACTATTATTTTATTGAAAAATCTGTAGTTAAAAATAAAAGAAAAATAATGTAGACCAAATAAGGACTAAATTGATGGAGATGTCAGAGCATCTCTAAACCATCGGGATTGCTTAAAATTGTGCATCTATTTAAAATTGTTTAGATCTCAATAAATTATGCTTATTTGAGAAACCAATAAAAGGAACAAATAATCAAAGATGGTACATTCGAGGAGGCAGGTACCACTGAAGAGTTCATATATATAATTAAACAAGAAATCAGAAGCTCGAGTACCTTAAATTAGTAAAAGTAAAATGATATCAAGGGGTATTTCTTTTTTTTCAAAAAAAGGTCTAGTGGCCTAACTTTGTTTAAATAAATTTTAAGACAAGTTTCAGGTTAAAATGTCTAAATTACCTTTTTCTATATTATTGAAATGTCTCAAATGCCCTTAACATAAAATGAACTTAATGCCTCTTTTTCAAATTGATTGTTAGTTTCATTCCAAATTGGCTTTGTTTTGTTCTTCATTCCCATTTCCAGCTTTCTTCTTCTTTAGTTTCTCTAATCTACTTCTTCTTTGTTCTACTAATTTTTCTTAAAATATAAGGAGGCACATTCAAGATAACAAACTCTTACATTTCCACATTTTTTAAATTGATAAGATATTCTCATCATTTTTATTTATTTTTTTGATCTTGTGTTGCTTTTATTTGTACATATATTCATTGTCATTTCTATTTAGTTTAGTGTTTGGTATGTAATTTTTTGACTTGAAATAGTTTTAAAAGGACAATCTCGTATGTTTTTAGTTACAGATCCATTACAAACGTTTTAAATAATGGAAGTTGCTTTGATAGAAAGAAGTCGCTCCAAATGACTTTTTCAGTCATTTTAAGCGACTTTACTAGGAATGATTATTTGTTTACATTCTAAAATCTTATCATTCTAATTATAGATATGGACTCAACAACATGTATTGTTATATTTTATTTTGATGACTTTGTTAGTGATGATCAAGGCAAATGGACATAGAAACTAAGTGTGAGTGATGAAATGGTGGAAGGAGTTCCACTATCATTAGATACTTGATATCATGATCTATATTGTGAAGTGCTAGATTTTTGCAATGTTGATTTATATTTATATCAAATTGAGATGAGATTTTTTTTTTTCTCCCTAGACATGGATAGTTTTCAATTCCAATCAAAATTACTTCGGATAAGCAAGTACAGTGGTTACTATCTCTCAACAAATAAATTCTTATTGTCCAATTTTTGTAACCCTTGTGAGCAAAGGTCCGGTTGAGCATCCACAAGAAGAAGCTAATAACTAATTTCGTGAAGTGGAAAACTATGAAGTTGATTGTGATACGCAAAATGAAGGTGGTAATCTTCAATGTGAAATGCAAATATATGATGACAATGAATTGGATCAAATTGAGAATGTTGATTGAGATGGGTTGAAGATAGTCCAAGACAATAATGTTGATATTCTCACTAAAAATTGTAGGAATGATGCTTTTTCTAAGCATGGACCCAAGATGCTTCAAGACAATAGAAGAAAAGCATTCTGCAAATGAACATCACGTCGCTTCAACTCTTACGTCACATTTGATTCTTGAGGATGCATATTTAGAAGATCGCCAAATTTTATCACAAAAAAAGGATCTTATGATGGAAGTTCACATGCTTGTAATGAAGTACAACTTTTAATTTAAAGTGAAAAAATCAAATAAGGAGATAAATACAATTATTTGCATAGATGAAAATTGCAGATGTCGTTTACGAGCAACTAAATTCATGTATTGTGATTATTTTCAATTTCGTAAATATGTACGTGAAAATACTTGCTCTGTGAATATTCGTCATTTGAAGACATATAATGCCTAAATTTCAAATTTCTAACATTATATATAGATATGGAAATGTCATTAATGACATGCGTCGAAAATTCGGGGTAGACGTGAGTTATTAGAGGGCAAAGAAGTAACGAAAATGTGCTTAGAAAATTTTAAAAGGTTCCCCTGAGGATAGTAATGCCAAATTGGACTTATATTCTCGTAACTTAGCTACAACTAATCTTGGAACGAGGCATTGTCTTTGAGGTAATTTTGGGCATGCATGGTCCAGTATGTCGAATGAAAGGCAGTGGTCCAGTACAACCGCTCAATATCTGTAATTATACAACAGCTTCAGTAGCATTCAATCTCATTCTAGGTAGCAAATTCGAGAACTTAGACTAATATTTAACTTTGGCTAAATTTATAGATCAATTTATAAATCGTATCCAAACGAAAGTTTAGTAAAGTCATTCATTCTTCTGATCTAGTAATCACACATAAAAAAAGGATGTTTGCTCCTTGTTTGTCTAATATGTGGATAAAAAGATAAATATTGGGGTACAGAGACTCCACTACTTGAACTCATTTCCTTTTTAAGAAAAAAAACTAATTTTTCCATATTAGCGATTCGAGACAAACACTCAATCGCCACTACAAAAAACTCGGCTAGATTCCTTCCCTACCTTGTTTGAACAAAAGTTGACATTTCGACGTACTTTTGTATGAATATTATCCAACGGGACTAAAAATACAACAAAACGTTATTACCATCACTACAATGTTTTCTAGTTTTGTTATGGACTCCTTTAAAAAACAATATATATTAAGAAAAATGTAATGTTATGAAAATTGGACTAGACAGACCGGTTCAACCGAAAAAATCAGGAACCTGGTCGAAATTCGGTCCAATTAGACATTGAAAATTGCTTCTTTAAATACTGGTGTCAAACCCATTAAATTGGCGCTTAAACCTTGAATCGATCTACCCGGACAGGATTTCAGAGTCCATCATTTAGATAGGAAAAATAAAAATAATAATAAAAGAATTAGCTATATCATTCTTCAAGCTGCAAGAGCTTTTTCCAGATATGTAATTTACCTTACCTTTTATTGTACTAGAATGCTTTCTCCTTATTATTATTTTTTTTTTTTTCTTTTTTTCTATATCTTTTCGTTTCTCTCGCTGAAAACATTTTTCTCCTTCACCATCGCAGACACTCGGTATTTGTTTACCCAAATTCTGATGAAGTGAAAGAGATAAAAATGAGGCTTTGGCCAATTACTTTCTTCTTGAGGTTGTGGCCCATTTCAAAAGAAGATTCACTTTTATGTTTCTCACTTCTCTCTTTTCCTTTTAACTTTTTTCTTTTCATTTATTATTATTTTCCTTATGTATTAAAGTAAGAACAAATTAATTTAATTATTATATCAAATTATAAGTTAATATTTGCTAATTGCACAATTATTTAGAGTAGTTGAACTACTTATTAGAATCAACTTATATTTGTGATGCTTTATAATAAATGTATTTAATTATTCCTTTACCCCGGTTTGACTTCGGTTCAATTCTGATTGAACCTTTCGACCATTGACCTTTTGGCTTTTTCATGTCAATACCCAATTCGGTTTTCAAAATATCGAAAATGTGAAAGCTAAAACTAAATCGACAAAAATGTTGGAGCATCTCCAAACCATATTGGATTGCTTCAAAATTGTGCATCTATTTGAAAATGAAGAGATCTCAATAAGTTATGTCTTTTTGAGAAATCAATAAAAGGAGCAAATAATAAAAGAATGTCAATTTGAGGATGTACGTATTCTTGAAGAGTTCATAGACATAACTAATCAAGAAATCGAAGCAGAAGTTCAGGTACCCGAAGTTAAAAAATAATGAGATATCAACAAGTTATATCTCTATAGGAAAAGGATAGAATCGAGAAGAAACAATTGTCGATGACATTGTTGCATATAATGTAGTGCTCAATAGCATTAGTAAAAGTGATGATGTTGAACCAAGGTCCATCAAAGAATGTTGACATAAAATAATTAGCTAAGCTGAAAGATGCAATAGTGGCGTAATTAAACTCATTAGAGAAACATAATTTTCTTCGACCTGTCCTAAAAACACCTAAAGGGGTAAAGCGAATAGGGTTCAAATAGGTGTTTGTGCGAACACGAAAAAAAAAAAAAAGGTCGTGAGATATAAATTGCAACTAGTAGCATAAAGGTTTTCACCAAAACGTTATTACCAGCACTAAAATGTTTTCTAGCTTTGTTGAGGCACCTTTGAATAACAATATTTGTTAGAAAAATATGAAAATTAAAACTAAATTGACGAAAAAGTCAGAACATCTCCAGTTCTACCATGTATTGCTTAAAAATTGTGCATCTATTTAAAAATGAAGAGATCTCAATAAGTTTTGTCTCTATAGAAAATCAATAAAAGGAGCAGATAATCAAGATGGTTCATTTGAAGAGGTAGGTACTCATTACGTGCCCATAGACATAAAATAGATGGAATT